GTCACACCATTTCTAACCACATTGGAAAATTCAGCCATTTAGGAGATGATCCAATAAGCACGTGTCATTATTAAGCTGAGATAAATGGCACAGACTCTCTGGATCAATGGAATCTGTGATATGTAAAGAGGACCGCCATGCTGTTTCTGGCTGGGAGGATCAGCAAGCTAAGTGTCTCTGAGGGGGTGGCAAGACTGTGGGCGGTGGCCCACCAGGGCTATGTGCTTTTTAAGTGACAGGATTCTGTAATATTCTCAGTTTGCTTCTAGGCAATGCTATGAGATAGTCTATGATGTTGGATTCTACTTTGAAACGACTTTAGATTAAATACAGTTCCTTTTCTAACTGACTTCCCAAACACCATGCAAGGTAAAAGTCATTTAAACTACTTGCCTATCTCCTTACTGGAATTTTTCAATACCAGTCTATTGTCTAGTCCAGGTTTATCTGATCCTCAGCACAGATGACATTAGAAGTTCCAAGACATAATTCTGCTTTTTTACCTTTCCTCTTCTGCTTCTACCTTGCCAACCTGCAACCATTCAGTTGTATCTCTGTTAGGTTTGGGGTCATTGTAATCTATTGGAATGAATAAAACATCTATAGCAGCGTCTAGAAATTTTTTAGGAAAGATTAGTGTGTTCCACCTTTGCAATCATTGAACATTACCCACTGTGAAGAAAAATTTCTTTTTTTAGATCATCTTAGAAATCATACCTGGGTGAGAGCCTTAAAGGTCTCAGCATACACTGGCTCCACAGACACCCCACTGGTCTCTGCAGCACGTTGGATTTGGTGCAGCCACTTGCGCCTTGCAGAATTCCTCAGACTCTCAATATGGCTCCTTTCCAAAGCATTCATCAGGAACTCCACAACACTTTCTAGAACCTGGTCTTCATTGCCTCTGAGTTCAGATACAACCAATTCTATATATTTCTGAAACTGTTTTGAAGACAACCTCACTTCATGACCCTGGCGTGGCTGTGGAAACTGGATGTGTAGTTTAGCTAAAAGACATAAACACAAAACCAAGAACTAACAAAAAGTTCATTTATATATGGGGAACATTTTCATTCTCCTCTTACAGCAAACTGAAGCTCCTGTCAACTGCTCCATGGAAAAACAGGTATTATAACAAAGCATCTTTGAGTCTAATGGAACATTTCAGAGTGATGTCCTATGCTGAACTCAAGATGTCATCATCTCTGTTTTTGTTGTTTAATTCTTCTACTCACCCACGTGAAATCCCAGGGACCACTTTGACTCCTCCCCACTTTTTGCTTTCGATATCCATTAGACCACTAAATCTTACTTGTTATTCTTTGGCAATAAATCTT